GAGCCTTAGAGCAAGTCTTTACTGCTCTACGGTCGTCAGTGTCCTCATGTGGACCATGAGGCTCTCAAGCAGCCCTTTGAGGTTGTACCCCAATAACTAAGGACCCTTCCCCAAACCTCCTGCTCAATCTGGGCAAGAAGAGCCTTTGGAGACCTTCAGAAATTACTCCTCATAGATTCCCCTTCGGCTGGACCCAGCAGGGCTTGGGACGGGGCGGGATCGGGGGCGGGGCCTCGCTGGCCACGCGGTCCGTTGCCTTGACGACCGCGACAAGATGGCGTCGACTCTGCGTGGGCCCTTGGGCTCCAACCCGGGGGTGCTCAGCCCTGAGCAGCTGGAGCAGTTGCGCCTCTACAAGGTGGGTGCTGTTCCCTCACCCTTAAAAGTGCAGTGCCCTCAGGATTGGGAGGAGGGCTTCTATGTGAAGGAAGCCGAAACCTGTGCCCAGATAAAGGGACCGCGGAATAAAGATGAACCCTTGCGGGCCCCTTGGACTTTCTGGGCCTTAAACAGAGCCCGACAGACCCCTGAAAATGTAGAAAGAACGAAAGCAGAGATCCAGTTAAGGAAATGATAGAACTTTTTGCCTGATACATAAAATTAAATATAAACAAGAGTTTACCAATTATCGATATCCGACCTTTAGGGTCCCTAACTTGAACAGGGGGCAGCATGGAGATGTTTACAAAAAGTTCCTACCCACTGCCATTGAGTTTATCCCGACTCTTAGCGACCCCATAAGGACAGGGGAGAAATGCTCCTTGATAGTTTCCGAAGCTGTAAATCTTTTTTGGGTACAGAAAGTGTCATCTTTCTCCCAAGCGGCCGCTGGGTTTCAACTGCCTACCTTGTGGTTAGCAGTGCGTAACCCACTAGACCTGCAGGCCTCCTTATAAGAAGATGAGCGTTAAAATGTCAAGAATCCTGGAGAAAGACCTGAGATGTTGTTTCCTCACCTCTTCACACCTCCAGAACTTGAACTCTGAATCTGCCTTGCTAATGGAGAGTGGTCCTTTACTCCTCTTGCCCTTAGATTCAGACTCGGATTGCCAACGAAAAATACCTCAGGACCCATAAAGAGGTGGAGCTGCTCTTAAGGGGTTTCTTCAGGTAGGTGGTTTTCAAAAGTTCTAGTAGAATTTTTACCAGTTTTTGGTGGGGATAGATGAGTGACCCCTGCTTTCTTTTAATAAACAGCTTCCTTTTGCTGCCTAATTTAAGGTATTGTTGTTAAGTGCCGTTGAGTTGGTTTCGACCCATAGCGACCCTGAACAGGGTTTCCGAGGCTGTAAATCTTTACGGGAGCAGAACACCTCATCTTTCTCCCGCGGAGCAGCTGGTAGTTTCGAACTGCTGACCTTGCGGGTCGCAGCCCGATTCGTAACCACTATACTACCAGAGCTCCTTCTAATTTAAGGTATGGAAGTTAGATAATATCCTAAGGGTTAAAAAAATTTTTTTTAACTTTTAATTATGAATTGAGTGAAGGTTTACATCATAAGAGTAGATCATAAGTTTTCACATTCAACAAATCATATGCTTTACTTCATTACAATGATTGCAATCCCTTCCAAATACTCTTGTCGTTGTTAAGTCCATTCCAACTCATAGCGATCCTGTATAGGGTTTCCGAGGAGTGCCTGGTTGGTTTGAATGCCAACCTTGCGGTTATAAGTCCAGTGCTTATCCTACAGTGCTATACCAGGACTCCCCATATATCATTGTTGTTGTTGGTAAGTACCGTCGAGTCGGTTCCTACTCATAGTCAGATCTTGTATAAGGTTTCCAAGGAGCAGCTGGTGTGTTTGAATTGCCAACCTTGCAGTTACCGGTCCGGCGCTTATCCTACAGCGCCACACCAGGACTACCTTTAATTATGTTGGGGAATTTCCCTTCTATTCTTATTTTGTTGAGTGTTTTTATTAGGATTGAGTTGGATTTTGTCAAATGCTTTTTCTGCATCAATTGGTATGATTATGTAAATTTTTCCCCCTTTGTTTTATTTATGTGGGGTATGTTGACTGCTTTTCTTATATTGAGCTATCCCTGCATACCTGGTCTGAATCCCACTTGATCATTTTGTGTGTGTATATATAGTTGGATTCTATTGGCTAGAATTTTGTTGAGAATTTTTGCATCTATATTCATGAAGGATATTGGTCTATAATTTTCATTTTTAGTGATGTCTTTGGCTGGTTTTGGTATCAAACTTAAGCTTACTTCATAAAATGAATTCAGCACTTTTTCATCCTTTTCTATATTCTGGAATGGAATTGGTGTCTGCTCGTCTTTGAATGGTTGGCAGAATTCATCAGTATAGCCATCAGGGTGTGGACTATTTTTGAGTTGGGAGTTCTTTTAATGATTTGGTCAATTTCTTCTCCTGTTCCAGGCCTCCTCAAGTTTGTCTGTGTCCTGTGTTTCTAGAAATTTGTTTATTTCTTCTAGGTTTTCAGATTTGTTGGGAGTACAGTTCTTCATTGTATTCTGTTATTATTCTTATTTCTGTTAGTTCTGCTGTGATGTCACCCACATAATTTCTTATTTGTGTTATCTGTATTTTTCTTTTGTTAAATTTGCCAGTGGTTTGTCCATTTTATTAATCCTTTCAAAGAACCAACTTCTTGTGTTGTTGATTATTTCTATTTTCTATTTCATGTATTTCTGCTCTTTGATTATTTCTTGTCCTCTGATGGCAGTAAGCTTACTTTGCAGCTCTTTTTCTAATTGTTGGAGATGTTGAGTTAAGGTGTTGATTTTGGTGGTTTCTTCTTTTTGTTTGTGTGCATTTATCGCTATAAGTTTTCCCTCTGAGCACTGCTTTTGTTGTGTCCCAAAGGTTTTGGTATGTAGTGTTTTCGTTCTCATATGATTCAAGGATATTTTTGTTTTTAATTTCGTTTTTTATTTGTTCTGTTACCCAGTAGCTTTTAAGCAGGGTGTTATTCAATTTCCATGTTGTTGTTGTTTTATCACTTGGTCTTACTGTTGATTTCTAGTTTTGTAGTGTGATCTGAGAAGATGCTTTGTAGTATTCTGATGTTTTAAAATTGATTGACGTTTGCTTTGTAGACTAACATACAGTTAATTCCGGAGAATGTTGCATGTGCACTGGAAAAGATTGTTTATTGTGCTGTGTTGGGTTGAGTGCTCTGTACATGTCTGAGGTCAAGTTGGTTGACTGTGTTGTTTTTTGTCTTTATTGAGATTCTAGTTGTTCCTTCCTTCATTAAAAGCGGTGTATTAAAATCTCTTACGATTATTGTGGAGTTGTCTATTTCTTTCTTCAGTTATATTAGAGTTTGATTTATATATTTTGAGGCTCTTTCATTCAGGGCATAGATATTTGTTATGGTTATGTCTTCTTCCCCAGCTGACCTCTTAATCATGATATAATGCCCTGCTTTGTCTCTTATGCTGGTTTTTGCCTTAAAGTCTCTTTTATCAGCTATTGAAATTGCCACTACTGATCATTTTTGATTGCCATTAGCTTGATATATTTCTTTCCATCCTTTTATTTTTAGCCTCTGTCTGTCTTTTTGAGTAATATGTGTGTCTCTTGTAGACAGCATATTGAAGGATCTTCTTTTCTTAACCATTCTGCTACTTTGTGTCTTTTGGCCGGTGCTTTTACGTTGACCTTTTCTAAAAATGTATCCATCTCTCTAAATTTTCAAATTTGTTGGAGTACAACTCTTCCTAATATTCTGTTGTTATCCTTTTTATTTCTATTAGTTCTGTTGTGACATCACCCATGTGGTTTCTTACACATGCTGTGCCTTCTCCCTCATTTCTTTTGTTAGGTTTGTCATTTTTATTAATCCTTTGGAAGAACCAGCTTCTTGTCCTGTTGATTCTTTCTATGGGTTTTCTGTTTCCTATCTCATTTATTTCTGCTCTAATCTTTGTTATTTCACTTCTTCTGTTGATTGTAGGTTTATTTTGCTGGTCTGTTTCTAGTTGTTGGAGATGTTGTGTTAATGTGTTGATTTTGGTGCTTTCATCTTTTTGGGTGTGTGCATTTATTGCAATAAATATTCCATTCAGCACTGCTTTTGCTGTGTCCCAAAGATCTTGGTATGTGTTTTAGTTCTCATTTGTTTCTAGGAGTTTTGTGAATTCATGTTTTATTTGACTGATGCTTTTAATCCATTTACATTCAGTGTAATTATTAGTAGGTATGAATTGATTGCTGTCATTTTGTTGTGTGTCTGTTTTTTGTGTGGTGCTCCTGGTTTCTTTTCCACACAGTTTTCAGTGCTGAGTTCATTTTGTTTGTGGGTTTTCTTTTCCATGTTCATTTTTGCTGTGTTTACTAAATCCTTCTGATTTTCCTCCTCTTTTTATTTTGATGTGAAGGTACATTCATTTTCTTTGAGGTTGCCCTGTGATTTATTAATTTTTTCCCCATTTAAAACTGTCTTTTTATCTTGAAATCTACTTGACTCCTTCTTGCTTTTTGGGTGAATTCATTATAAATGATCAGTTTCCTTGTTTTCAGTCTTGTAGGTTTGTTTTACTCTGAATACTTATGTATCTGGGTGGTGTTATGGGTGGTGTTGTCATGTATGGTGATCTCAAGTTGTTGTCTGTTGTTGTTGGTTCTCAGTTTAAACTTGGTCCAGTTATTACAAATTCCTTTCATTTCTGTTTATCTGGAAAGGTCCTAATTTTACCATTGTATTTGAGGGCCAGCTTTGCTGGGTATATGATTCTTGTTTGGCAGTCTTTTTCTTTCAGAGTTTTGTATATGTCATCCCCAGTGCCTTTCGGTCTGCCTGGTTGCTGCTGAGAACTCAGAGCTTAGTTTTATTGATTTCTTTTGTAGGTAACTTTTCATTTTTCCTGAGTTACTCTCAGGATTCTTGCTTTGTCTTTGATTTTGGAAGGTTTGATTATGCTATGTCTTGGTGATTTTCTTTTGGAATCTATCCTGTTTGGGGTTCATTCAGCTTCTTGGATGCTTATCTTCTCATCTTTCACGATGTTAAGGGAAATTTTCTCCAACAACTCTTCAACAGTTTCCTCTGTGCTTTCTGTTGTCTCTTCCTTATCCTAAGGTTTTTGGATATATTTTTTTTTACTCTGGGCTTTATGGAACCCAAGGTTTCCTTTGGTTATCTCTATAGGTTTTCTTCAGTTATCCCTAAATTCTCTAAAATATTAGTTTTCACTCGCATTAACTCTGGTGGTGGTTGTGTGCCACAGAGTCAGTTCCGACTCAGCGACTCTGCATAGGGTTTCCAAGGCTGCAAATCTTTACAGAAGCAGAAAGCTTCATCTTTCTCTCAAAGAACAACTGGTGGTTTTAAACTGCTGGTCTTGAGGTTAGCAGCCCAACTCGTAACCAGAGCTCCTTCACATTAGCTCTAAGGATGGATAAATTATGACATTTGGCATCATGAACCTTAAGGGGCAGCCATTGGATGTAGAACACTGTTCTCTTCTAGAGTTTAATGGGTCACTGCTGCTGCTGCCTTGAGTCAGTTCCCACTTATAGCAACTCTCTATAAGGTGTCCGAAGCTGTACATCTTTATAGGAGTAGAACGCCTCATCTTTCTCCCATGGTACATTTGGTGAAATCAAACTGCTAACCTTGCAGTTAGCAGCCCAATGCGTACCACACTACACTACCAGTAATCCTTAACAGGATCACTAATATTACTTTAAAAAGAAATTCAGATGTCTGGTCCTTGTCTTTCTGAGAACCATTGTTTTAGAAAGACCTCAGGATTGGAAGACACCCCTCCTCTGTAAGTCTTAGGAAAAAGAAGACTATTTTCCACCATGTCTTGAGTATGTACTTGCATTGCATCACGGTATCTTCCGCTAGCATTACTTGAGTGGAGAAATCACCGATTGGACTCAAAGGCCAAGAACTTGGTGTGGGGGGAGGGTAGTCATGGCACAACAGTGGATGAAAACAATTGGATAGTAGCGCTACCTCGAATAAAATTTGGTTATGGATACATAGGCAATACTTAAATAATAATGACTTCCATTTCTTGGTGCTGTGTGTTCCCCAAGGAGCCCTGGTGGTACAATGGGTTAAGCTGCTAACCGCAAAGTGGGGCAGTTAAAACCCACCAGCTGTTCCGCAAAAGAGAGA